TTCCACCCCATACCTTTAGGGAAAGGCTGTTCTGGATCAACCAAGGGATGAATTTTACCCCCAGGAAAGACTGGGCGACATCGGAAGACATTTATAACTGCCGCAGCCGGGGCTCGAGCCTCACCGGCACGTTGGGGGGACCAAGGATGCTGCTACACCTCACAGCGCACAGGACGGCCCCCGCAGGGCGGGCGTCCCCAGCCCCGGGTGTCAACAGCGCCCTTTCCTTACTGCTCTCACTGCCGCCCCAAAGGGCCACAGGGGCACTTCCACTTGTGCTGCAGCAAATTCTGCTGAAATAAACATTTGTTTTTTAAAAAGTATATATAAATACATAACTGAATTTAGAAGAATACAAAATTAAATTCCTAATTTTTAGAGCGAAAAGCACAAGCCTTGATAAAATGTCTTAGACAAAACATAACATATACTGACAGATTAACAGGGTCTCATTGATACATTATTTTTGCAAAAGTCTAATCAGACTGCTCTGCAAACTGCAATCACAGTCCCTACCAAATCCACAGTCTCCTTGGAGTGACCCCGCCCCACTGCAGACCCCAATGAAAAGGGGCAGCCGTGCAGAGGGCAGGAGCCCACCCCTCCCCGGGACAGATCAAGGCCGCCGCCTGTCGGAGGGTGGGGTGAAAGCGAGCTCTGTCCCATCCTCCCCGTGGGGTGCTGGGAGCCAGGAGGAAGAGGTGGGAGAGCCGAGCCTGAGCTGTGGGCAGCGGGGAGGAAAGACGCAACTGCCAGGGAGCGGAGCAGACGGGAGAGCTGGAGTCCAACCGGGTCAGAGGGCCAAGACCCCAGGGGGCAGCCAGATCCTGCCAGGGCCCAAACCGAAGCTCCACTGGCCCCAAGGCTCGGCACTACAGTGGTCCCTGCAATCCTGCTAGATTTCCATTTTCCTTATCTTTGCTGGGCCCCAGACCCCTGGACTTCATGAAGTCAGCCTGCTCCCTGCCATTCTGAGACTTCACTAAAACTATCGCTCTGTGCCAGTCACAGGTGGCAAACAAGAAAAGCAGCATTCCCAGCAAACATGCCCACAGCCTCACCTCGCATGGTTTTACTGGACCAGACAAGTGCAAGACACCTGCCTTTTGGGTGATGACATCACCCGGAGCAGAAAGGGTCTCCCAGCATAGGAGTGCCGCCAGCCCACGATGAGCAGCTCACCCTCAGGGAAGGGAGGGCAGGGCCTGGTAACTGGACCTGTCAGGATGACTGATCCGATCATTTAGAGAAAGAGCCAAGACAACACAATAAATCCAAAATGTTAGCTAGCTAGCTCACACAGGCCCTCCGTCTCTCGACCTGGTGCATCAGCAGTTTTCTACATTTGGAAAAAGCTCAAGGAATCCTACACAGAGTTAAGCAGCTGTTCTGTCTCCTCCCCAGGTCCCCTGGCCATCCGAGGGGCCTTCCCAGAAACAGTTAATAGACTGGCTGGCCCGAGTGGGGTAGGTGGGGTGGGCAACACGCCACCAACACAAGGGGCCGCGGGCGGCTGGCACTGCTCTGCGCACACTCTTGTGGGCGGGACAACGTGGCAGATGCAGTAGGCTCATTTGACAGCCTTTGCAGCCAGGCCTTTCCACCAAATGATCATGTCAATCAACGCCTGCTTTCCAGCTCGAACTTTTTCTACACTCTACTTCCACTTTCTGTGTTGAAGGGGAACAGAGCTTGTGACCCCAAAATATGCCACTTTGGGATCCTGATTTTCAGCTGGTTAATTTTAAGAAACAGCACACCTGGGAGAAACCGGAAAACCCAGAAGTTACCCCTCGTAAAAAACAATTCGATTTGTAAAGGCTATCTCCATCACTGTTTCTGGCCTCCCTGCACTGTCAGAGGAAAAGGCAGGAACTTAACCTGCAAAACCACCTAACCCAGGTTTTCAGTGCTCTGCCTGGTGCCCTCCCATAACCGACCCTCCACCATCTTCTGTCGCTAGCTGAAGGCGGTACCTAGGATGACAGCTTCCACCATTTGGGCAAGTTACGCAGCGTTTCTAGTCTGTCCAATGTATATATGTTACTAAACTTTACTGTGTTTTTCTCCTACTAATCTTTCTTCTGTTAATTTGATTATTAGTCCAGCCAGAAGAACTTGAAGGGTAGAGGATTTCATTTCATTTTTCCTCCCCAACAGTGTCTTCTTAAATAGCCAGTATAAACGGAAAGAAGAGTAACTCATCTCAGCTAGCGACCGCCACAGTGATCTAACACAGCGATGGTCAACAGGGTGCTGCAAGAATTTCTCAAACATGCAGCACCTGACTACTCAGGCAGGGTCACTGACCTCTTCTCGCTCAGACTGTCAAATTAAAAACCGACAACAGCCAATATTACAAAAGCTGCCAGGTGTGAATCTATTTTCTTATCAGATAGGCAAAAAATGTACTTTTTGCCATCATACAAAAAGGGCTGACAGTCACTGGTCTAAGACAGCACCCCCACCCCCATGGCTCCTGCGGCTGCCCTTACCCTCGCCCGGTGACCCCAGACTGTTTGTAGTTCCTTGTCCCCACTGTCATCCGTGCAATGATCTAAAGAACGGGAAAAAGGGCACACACGTATTCCTACTAATGGATGGGCTGAGGGCAAAATGACTCCTGATGCAGAAGTTCTGAACTTGATGTCTGTGAACCTGAGTGAGGAAAAACATCACATCTTGATTTGCAATAACCTCTGGCTGAAATCTAGTCCTCACTCAGTTAAGAGGTTAGACATTGAATCCTGGAGTTTCAGCAGTACCTGGAGCTTTTTCACCAAAAGAGTCCACTAATATCTTCACAAAGCATAACAGTTGCGTCAGAAAATCTCAAACTGTCGGTCTGCTTATCGACACTGCAAAGGAATTAATTACTGGAGCCAGCATGCAGTCTGGTACTAATTCAGCTAATAAAGGGCACATGAGAAACTTGATCACCATTTGGGCTCAATATTTTAATAACTGTCCTTCAGAGTACCAGGTTCTCTTCTGGATGCCACTGCATCTAAAACATCTTCCTGGAGGGCCCAGGGGCCAAGCGGAACACAGGGAAGGAACCCGACGGCAGATGGTTTGCATCAGTAGCAGTTTCAGGGTTTTCATCCAAACGGTTTCAAAATGCTTAACAATTTGCAACAAAAATGAAAGTTGTAATTAGAATGTTACTGCTCTGGTAGTACTTTTCTACAGTTGCACTACACTGACACAACTGTAAACAGATTAAACCAGGGGACAGGAACCAACAACTCAGGTTTGCACCCAGCGTCATCCACCATGCCCCCGCCTTCTGGCACCTAAATCACAAGCCCAGCACCTGACCTGTCCAGTCCTGGGCCTCCGTCCACCCATGCCCACGTCCACTTCCAAGCCTCTGAGCAGGAAGCTCCCTCCATGGCTGGGTAAGAAAAAGCCCCACGTCAGTCCCTAACACACAATGGCACACTGTGCATTCCACCAAATACCGTAACTGGATGATGCACGTACCACTCACTCTCCAGGCAGTAAATTAAGGAAAAAGCGACGACAGGCAGATAGATGTGAGTCACTCTGCCATCCTCCAAATCCATGTACCAGATGTGTGTGCATCGCCAGTAACTACCAGCAAACATTTTATTTCACTTCAATTCTTCCTTGTAATATTTAGAATATATTGTAAAATATTATGTACTTTACTAAAACATGATATATAGTATAAACATACTGAATATGTAAAATATTACCTTTTTTGACACATCAGGAAAAAAAAAAGTTATACCCAACTAAAGCTTTCTTTTACCCCAGAGTGGAACGTGCTCACTTCCTAAGGAAAAACTGGTAGCTTTCACAGAAAGCTGACTCTTAGCTTCCGTTATTAAATTACACCCCTGACGCATCAGACACATCCTGGGTGGCTGCAAGGCTGTGCTCAAGCGCCAAACGCACATCTGGTTACGGACAGCTCCCCCCGCCCAAACCCACACACACCAACTGTCTGCCTTCTGCCCTCACCACGGATTCCGATGCCAGCAATGCATGTAAGAAATATTTGGGGGTCACAGATCACGACGGAGCCCTAACTGGTGTGGCAGAACCACTTAACAGGGCATTTCCAGAGCCATCAGGATGAAATAAAGCAGACTCAACTTTTCCTAATATTTCCGAAGTGACTCACTCCTTTCTAAAGGAATGTGAAATTCCGGCGAGCGCTTCACCGTGTCCGACACTTGTACACACTATTTCAAATTGGCCGTTAAATACCAGCGCTAGCTCCGCAACGAATTCCGAAACAGGCACCTTGGCCCGAAGCACACAGCCCGGCTCCCTCTCGAGGCCACACCTCCGGGGCTCCACCGGACCCTGCTCCACCCCGCCGACCCCGGCATGGCCAGCGAGACCTGCACTGCCCGAGGCCGGGACTGATCCCTCCAACAGCCGCAACCGCCATCTTCCCGCCTAGCGCCCCGCAGAGAACCCCCCAGTGTCTGAACCAAAGGCGCGGCCCAAGCGGCAGGCAAGCTGACCCCTCCTCCGCGCGCCCCCGCGCCCTCACGCCGGCCCCGCCCCCCGCGCGCCCCTGGCTTGGCCCCGCCCCCGCCCGCGCGTCCCCCCACTCCTGCCCCGCCCCCGCCCGCGCAGGGGCGCGCGCCGCGTTCCTTAAGGGACGGTTAGGAGCGCGCGCCTCACAGCGGGCCCCGCACAGCGGCAGCGACGGCGGCAGAGCCTTCCAGAAATTTCCGCGTCCGTAAACCCACACTAAGAAACAAGCTGGGCGCGCCCCCGCGGCTGCCCGGCAGATAGCGCCCCTCCCCGCGGCCTTGGTTCCCCTCCCCCACTCGCGCCCCCTCCCCGCCCCCTGCCCCGGGCGGCGGGTCCGGCTCGGCCCTCCCAGGCGGCGGCGGACCACGGAGACCCAAGCGGTGGCGACGGGGCGGCGGCCGCGGCGCCGGCGGGCCGGCGTGATTGATAGGGACGGGGCGGCGGAGCGGCGGCGGCGGCGGAGCGGTTGAGTGACAGCTTACCTGGGTGCCAATCTTCATCACACTGACAAGCGGCTGCAGCAATCGGGACCCGCAGTGCCGCGCCCGCGTCCAACCGTCACGCCGACGCTGGGCCACGCGACACAGCCTCGCTCAATGGGAGGAGGGCGACGCCGACGCGCGCGGCATCAATATTCAGAGACGGGGCGGGGCCATCCGGGGCCGGGCCCCGCCCCGCCCCTGCGCCGCAGAGGCGTGGGGCGTGGCCTGAGTTCCGGGGGTGGAGAGGCAGGCGGGGGCGGGCGGGGGCCGGCTCCGCCCCCGCCTCGCGCCCGAGCCAGGCCCCGCCCCCAACTGGCCGAGCTTCCCGCCTCCCGACTCTGCAGCTGAAGGCGTGACCTGGGCGGGCGCCACGCCCCCTCCGCTTGCTTTCCAGCGGCCGGGAAAGATTTGTGGAGCGGGCTCGGGTGGGAAGAGCCTTGCGGGAGGAGATGCAGACCCCACTCCGCACGTCCTGCTGCAGGTGGGACTGGGCGGATCCCGGCTGCCCTCAGAGACCTTTGGAGGCCGGGCCGTGCAGGTGTCCGCGCCGAGTCCGCCCAGCTTGCGCGCGCCCCCTTTGTGTGCAGGCCCGCGGCAGCCTCCGCCTTCTCCTCGTGGGCGCGGGCTGGGACTGCACAGCGGGTGCGCACGTGTGCCCAAAGCCGCGGTCTCTGCCCAGCGACTGGCCTGGCCCCGGGCACCGTCTGTCCCGGGGGTGCGGTTTCCAGCTACCGCTGCAGGCACGCCTCTCTGGTCTGGCGCTTTGCCTTCAGTATACCTGTACCCCAGGTGACCCGAGCTGGCCCTATCAGCAGGTGAAGGGGGGACAGGGAAAATGTGGTCTGTATTTAAAGGTGAAGACTGTCACAGTACACCTACTGGTCTCGTCGGTGGCATTGCTCTCCAAGACGTTAAGGGAAGGCATCACCGACCGGAGTACAGAAGCACAGGGTTTGTCCAACTGGCCATTTTTGCAGGAACATTCCCACCAGGTGGGATTGCTGTACAGAGTTGATATACAGCTCGGAGAATGGATGCTCGGCAGGCCTGCCAGGATGGGAATGTGAGGCTGGAGGGTGCCTGGGGTCGGTCGGTCTTGAACAGTCCAGGAAGACATTCCTCATAAATCTTCAGGGCTGCATAAACCCATGAACTCACAGGTAGAGTCTGCATGGCATTGCAGAACCACATTTTCCAGAGAGTACTCTAGGCCTGAGTAGGGGGAGGCCAGTAAGCCACTGACCTGGGTGGAAAGATGGAGGTGATACCAAAAACTCAGTGAATCAAACCCACTATGTAATGTACAGGGCCCAGTGCAGAATGGAAATGCCCACCAAGTGTGGGCCCTTCTGAGGACAGGAGCCTATGTGACTGCGCTGGTCCCACACTGCCATAAGTGGCCCTGGCCTCACCTCACCCTGGTCTCCGCCCTGGTCTGAAGCTTTCATCTGGTTCCCATTAAGTGAAGCAGCAGGGGTTTGGGAACAGAGAAGACATAGTGTACGCAGTCACCCTAGAGCGTGGTGTACGTCACAGGCAGATTTGGCCCAGGCCCTGCCCACCCACCATCAGATCTGCCCTCTGTGTTCTGGTCATCTTTGCCTCTGTACCCTCGTGATCTGTCTTTCCTTCTTTTCACGGGGCTATCTCCAGAAAAAAGAGGAAGGGCTTGAAACACCATCAGTAATCACCTCCAGGTTTTGTGGCCCTGATGCTCACACATTTGGGAGGCCTTATTTAGGAAAAATAAAAATAAAAATTAGGTACATGTGTAGCCTTTGCCTCCACTCATGGCACACCAGGTGGTTTCTTAACAAAAAAAAATTGTATGTAACCAGCATTCTGGCTCCTCTCCAATGTCTTTTCTAGAGTTGTTACTATTGTCCCAAGAACTGTATTTAGGTGTGTGAAATAAACAGCCACATATAAATACTCGTAGATACACTCAGACCTACAGCCAGTGCCGTCAGGCTGAGAGGCGGGGGAGACGGGCACATAGGTGGGACAGGTAGACAGGCAGAGCACTTTTGAGAGAAGCCACAGGGAAAGGCCAGGAGAACTCTGCTAAGGCGCCGGCAAGCCTGTCCCAGGCGGGAAGATGCAGTTCTGTAGGGCCGCACGGACTCTGCCTGTGGCTGCATGATGTTGGAACAACCCTGAAGATTTATGTCAAGTTATGCAAAAGAAAAGTTAGGCCCAGACCCTGTCTCGCAGAGCTTACAATCCAGTGCCCAGTGGCAGATGGACGGAGGGCCTCAGCTCCTTGCTGGCTTTGCCTGAGGGTTATGTTCAGTTTCTCACCACTGGGACCTCTCCATAGCGAAGCTCATGACACGGCAGCTTGCTTCATCAAAGCCGCCAAAGACCGGAGCCCGTTAGGAAGACAGAAGTTACGTCTTATATGAAGTAATCCCAAAAGTGGCATTCCATCGCCTTTGCCTATTCCTTTGGTCGGAAGCAAGCCACACTCAAGGGCAGAGATCCCATGAAGTCGTGAACACTAGAAAGAGGATTGCTGGGGATCATCTGCATGCCACCTATTTTCTTTGTCTGTGTGAAAGAGACCATTGTGGATGTCATCAAAGGAGCCCTGGGCTTTTGCTCCAAAGCCCCAGGTGGGAAGTCTGTCCATGCCACCTACCACATGACGCTGAATGAGGCCGGTTCCCCTCCCTGGGGTCCAGCGTCCTCCATCTTCAGTGGGAACAATGGTACATCTCGGGATTACGCGGAGGAGGAAACGAGGCTGCTGCTAGAAAACACCCAGTGCGCACAGTAGGTGCCCTAGCCGAGGAGAGCCTGTAAAGAGCCAGGCCAGGCGAAGACGGCCCACAAGTCTTCGTTCTCAAACCTCCGTTTTCTCAAGAGACCGTTTCCTCCAGTGAAGCCCCTGGAAAGGTCAGGGTGGGAGACGCTGCCGCACTGGCCACAGTTTCCCCGGAAGAACTGTAGCGACACGCAGCCAGGACACGGCAGCCGCAGCCAGATTTGGGGCTGGGCAATAGAAAATCACGTCGACCAAAGACAGAAACATGAGTCCCATATGTGTAACCAGCATGTGGCAGATTTCTTAGTGAGCTAGCTCCTTGAACGTGGGAACTGCTGAGATGTTACAATCAGCTCAAAGGGAAGAGCAGACACAGGTGTGGGTCAGGAGCATTGGGAGGGGCTTGCAAGTTGTGCCAAACCGGCTCTGGGGGGGGCGGTTGGGGGCATGAGGGGAGGGCTGTCTCCCCACCACAAGGTTCATGTTCCTTAGCTGTTTTCTCACCCCTCCTACCTTCTGAAATACTCAGATTAAGCTCATAAAATAAGGAATTTCCTAAACATAAAGAATTGGGAAGTTGAGACTTGAATTCCCCCCCACCCCCAGCAGTTGGCATGAGTCCCTTTGCCCCACCCTGACTCTCCAGAGACTGCCAGGCCACGCTTCACAGCTGACTGTGGGTTGACAAAAAGCATACAGTATTAGACATTAAAACTGGGAAATTGTTTTCAAAGATTTTATCTATTTATTTTTAGTGAGAGGGGAAGGAGGGAGAAAGAGAAGGAAAGAAACATCAATGTGTGGTTGCTTCTCACACACCCCCCCACCAGGGACCTAGCCCACAACCATGACATGTGCCCTGACTGGGAATCAAACCGGCGACCCTCAGTTCACATGCCAGCACTTGATCCACTGAGCCACCCCAGCCAGGGCAAATTTTTTTTAAAGATCTATATTAATTGATTTTAAATTATATTAAGAAACCTATTCCGTGTTGTTCCATGGCAACATAAATAACTTTTTATTTTTTATCCTCACCCAAGGACATGCTTATTGGTTTAGAGAGAGGGGAAGGGAGGGAGAATGAGGGGGAGAGAAACATTGATTAGCTGTCTCTCACTCACAACCTAGGGGTTGAACCCGCAGCCCAGGCGTGTGCCCCAACTAGGAATCAAACACTCAGCCTTTCAGTGTATGGGACGACACTCCAACCAACCGAACCAAACCGGCCAGGGCATAAATAACATTTTATGAGAAATAATTATTCTCAAAAAAAATGAGTGAGGATAGCGGAGAACCTGTTCAATGTCTGGCTTACTGGCGGACAGCGGGGTCCTCGTATCTGCGTCTGTGTTCCGTCTGCTGGGACACGCGCACGGAAACCTGGCCTTGCCGACATGCGCGGTGGGGACGTGGAGGAGCGCTCAGGTACACCCTCCACCCAAACTGACATGTGGGTGTTTCCCGAAGGTTCGTGGCAGTGTGAACTGTGACACCACAGTAGCGAAATGATGTGCTGTTAGACTAAAGCTCCCTGGTCTCTCCAGCACTTTGAATAGATCCATTACCCACATGTGGCTTTGTAACAGGTCCATGCGGTCATTTGGAAAATATTAATCCACTGCATTATGCAGATATTCCAAATGTTGGCACGTCTCACTAGTCAGTATTAAAAGACCACAGCTGTAATGTCACCACCTGCCTCATCAGAGAAGGCTTTAAGTAATAGGCTGTAGCCCTGGCTGGTGTAGCTCAGTGGATTGAGCTCAGGCTGTGAACCAAAGTGTCAGGGCACTGACACTTTTCGATTCCCAGTCAGGACACATGCCTGGGTTGCAGGCCACGGCCCCCAGCAACCGCACATTGATGTTTCTCTCTCTCTCCCTCCTTTCCCTCTCTAAAAGTAAATAAATAAAATCTTTTCAAAAAGAATAGGTAAAAGAGAAATTGCAATTTGTTTAAAAAAAAAGTAATAGGCTGTGATCGGGTTCGGCAATAGGTACAAGTTCTCCAGAATCCTAATTTTTACTTGAAAATTCGAATTTGGTCACAGAAAGCGAATACTGTGCATTGGTTTCTTTGAAGTGACAAACTTGTTCATTTTTAGGAAAATAACTGCCAAATGCCCAAGTCTGAATAACCAGAAGTTTGTCCATTGTTCTTTCAGGTAAAAAAAAAAGGGTACCCCATGAAAAACAACAGCTAAGCCAACTCGGTCACACCAGGGCTGCTCCCCTGGGCAGCCACTGCACCTGGGTCTGGAGAGCATGTCATGCATCCTGCCCGTTCCTGTGCATAGCATATTAAAAAGGTGCATATTCAGCCCTGGCTGGTGTAGCTCAGTG